ACACAACATCAACAACAGCATGTTAGAAAAACAATGCCAGTTGTTGTTTTCATCTATTGTTTTCAATGTTTTCAAAACACTGTTCTCAATCAGCACAAACAACAACACAGACAACAACACAGACAAATAACACAAACAACAACAACACGAACAACAACAGAAAAACCACCACCAATAATTGCACCAGAGCCACCACCATGATCAGCACTTCAGAGAGGCCCAGCCAAACGTTATTCAAATTGATGACTTTCATATTGAAATTAACGGTCTGATAAATTGATAAGAGAAACGAAGGCTATGGCATACCAACATGCAAACATACAAACATACATACATACAAACATACATACATACAAACATACAAACATACATACATACATACATACAAACATACAAACATACATACATACATACAAACATGCAAACATACAAACATACATACATACAAACATACATACATACAAACACACATACATACATACAAACATACAAACATACATACATACAAACATACATACATAACTACATACAAACATACAAACATACATACATACATACATACATACATACATACAAACATACATACGCACATACAAACAAACAAACATACATACATACATATATGCATACAATTTTTTCTGTTTTGTTTGTATCAAATAAATATATACTAAATTGAATATTGAATACAAACATAAATAAATACATAATATCATTGAAGACACATTTAAACTTACACACAAACATACAAACACATCAACATAACAACATGAAGACGTTTGTATATTTGAATGTTTGTATGTTTGAGTGTTTGTATGTTTGAGTGTTTGTATGTTTGATTGATTGATTGATTGATTAGTTGGTTGGTTGGTTGGATGGTTGGTTGGATGGTTGGTTGGATGGTTGGTTGGTTGATTGATTGATTGATTGATTGATTGATTGATTGATTGATTGATTGATTGATTGATTGATTGATTGATTGATTGATTGATTGATTGATTGATTGATTGATTGATTGATTGATTGATTGATTGATTGATTGATTGATTGATTGATTGATTGATTGATTGATTGATTGATTGATTGATTGATTGATTGATTGATTGATTGATTGATTGATTGATTGATTGATTGATTGATTGATTGATTGATTGTTCATGTATGTTTGTTTATTTGTTTGTTCATCTTCACTTTTTCTCATTCTTCACTTTTCCTCATTTTTCACAAGATTGATTCGTTCGTTCGTTCATTCATTCATTCATTCCTTCAGTTACTCATTCCTTCATTCAGTTTTCCATTTAACTCCTTTTTCAATCATCTTGTCCGACTTAATTGAATTGTTAGCATCTTGGCCGGCGTCAAATTACCTTGGAAAAAAATGTCCCTAATTAAACCACATAATGACTTTTTGCACATTTCATCTTTTAAATTCTTAAGAAAATTTATTTTCATTCTCACTTTTTTCAACTTTCACTCCGATGAAGTTTCACTTTTTCTCATTCTTCACTTTTTCTCATTCTTCACTTTTTCTCATTCTTCACTTTTTCTCATTCTTCACTTTTTCTCATTTTTCACTTTTTCTCAATCTTCACTTTTTCTCATTCTTCCTCTTCTTCACCTCATCATATTTCCACATTTATCATTCGCGCCAGCAGATCACCACAAAAAGTAAAAAAAAATTTCTTGTGAAAAATTATGCCCGATAAGCAAATACAAACACACACACACGGCTGCCCAAATGTATATGTAC